GATCTCGACCTGCCCAGAGCAAGGAGAGTGACGAAAATTCAAAGACATATGGAAACAATTACTTCAATGCATCATCCAAACATTAGCGTTTACAACTCTAAGACCAGAAGGACTAAGGTACCTGGCTGTCACGCCCCACTGCTCTGAAAAGAGTCACATTAGAAATTCCTGGCTGGAGTGGGAGAGAAAAGTTGAAAATTAGTAAAGATACCAGGCTTACTGGTCATACTGAGACTGATGGGACCCCCAACCCTATGGCCCTTGGTCACCCATTAGTTCTGGAACTAATGTCTCCAGGGGCGGGCAAACTAAATAGATGGGATGAGAATAACCAGAATGGAAATAAACAGAATGTTTATGCCTTGTGGAGAAAAAATCAAATAAATCAAATCAAAAGAGCAGCACTTATTCAACAACAAAGTTCAGAGGGTTGGGAAAGAAGCAGGAAAGTAAGGGAACAGGAGGCACAGGTAGGGAGCAGGATAAGTCGGCACATCAGTGTGATTTAAATGGACGAGTTCAAACAAATGTGGACGAGTTTTTTTAAGTAAAACTGGTCATCTACCTGTAAAGCTTCACCTAATTCACAAGCAAAAGAAATTGTTTTTAATCATGAACAGCAGTGTCTTAATGCAAAACATCGGCGCTCCAACATTTATCAAGTAATGTTATAGATCTTAATGGCTAATTCTTTACAATATATTTTGGTACTGTATTTGAAATTATTAAAATAGTTATTGAAAAGTTTTAATTACACGTTTTCCTTATGCTAGAAGTTAGTTGTATTCTCTGGTGAGAGCTTTAGTAATATCACTGCAGGTGCTTTGAAAACAGATTGTGTCTATTAACAGTTCAAATGGGGTTTAGTTATGAGCAATCAATGAAAAGGTTCCTGTCAATAGGATGTCAGTTTGGCTCTGAGAAGTGCGGTTTGTCTGACAACTTCTGTGTAAAGAAAGGTAAAATAGCTGCCCTTGTTGTTTAGTAATTACCAGCAATGAAGAGTCGAGGAGAGAAAATGTGCGGAGAGTTAACAAGGACAAACACATATCATAAAAAATACTCAGGAAGCAGGAAAATGAACAAGACTACCATACATTTAATTGGATTGAATTATATGATATGTGAACTTTATGTCAATAAAATTATTTTGTGTTTGTTTCTTAGAAGAAATATTGCGTTAACTTAAGTGACAATTCTCCCTCCGTAAGCAGAAAAAACAGTCATGGAAATAAAATATATTGACTAGATGCCAACTTTGAGACACCATTAAAAAAGTCAAAAGTAGAGGATCTTGTGCACTCATTGCTGTTTCCCAAAATGGGCGATACTGCCCCCCGGGGACAATCCACTGGGCTGCAAAAGGAGAGACCTGTGTTTTAACCTGGATTATGGACTGTGGTGCAATTTTTAATTGCCAGGAGGGTGCTGATTGCTGATTTTTTTTTTTTTTTTCTGAAAAGGTGGCAGAGGACCAAATAAATTTGGGATCCTACAATCTAGTGCTCTGAAACCTGTTTGTCAGTGTTGATAGCAGTGATTCTTTAAAGGAATGTAGATCAAATGCAGAGAGGAAGCCAGTATTCATTCATTCTCAGCTAGTTGTGTAGCTAACGAGCACAGTACCCTCACACATAGTAGGGACTCGGGAATAAGTCACCCTTCATACGTGCTACAAAGACACCATTTAGTAAACAACTACTATATTCCGAAGTTGTCAAGAATTTTATTTTACTTGCATCCGCACTCAATGCTCATGGAAAGAGCAGTCAAGAAATCCGCGTGTTTTGCTAATTTCACTCCAACAAAGCTACCTAGACCTTGCTTTTTTTTTTTTTGCTTATGAGTTCCATTTCTTTACTTGTTATTTATCTTACCAGAATCACATTTCTTCTTGTACCAATCTTAGTATTTTCCAGTGATTGATACTTCACGATAGTTCTGCCTTTACTTTATCAAGCTTTTCAAATTCATTAGCATAAAATTATCCAAGATATTCATTCCTGATATTTTGTTTATGTTAAATGGATAACTATTTACCTTTTCTAGGTTTTATTTGCATCTTCAGTTTCTTTTTCCTGATTATTTTGACGTTGGCATTTTCAGAGCTTACGGTTCTTACTCACAGCAAACCTTTGCTCTCAAGTTCAATTTCTGTCCTTGCTCACATTTTCCCCTTTCCATTCCTGCAGTTTCATGTACAATCTAACTTTTCTAAAAGTTTGAGGTAATTTTTTAATGACTTCTCTTGAAACTGGGGGAATTTTTTAATTTCCTTCTAAATATTTGCTTTCCTCAATAATTCCTTCCTGATTTCCCTATAACTGTGGGTGTAATTGAGTATCTGGGCATATGTAATATGTGTTCTTTGTTCTCGAATGAACAGGACAAGAGCTA